CGCGAGCACCCCATGCAATTTTGAGACTCACAAGTTGCTTGAGGTCTTTCAATGATACCATCAGATTTTCCACCGTGAAATTGTTTTTGTTTACGGTAATGCTTAGCCTCTTCAGATTGACGAGGTGTTTAATTGCACAATTCTGTTCAAAATCGGTCTGACTAATCACAAACCCTTTAAGGACTTGTAGTTTGGAGAGGTTTGCAATTCCCCTAGGCATGCGATCTAGCATATAGCACTCTGAAACATCCAAGTAAATCAGACTCTCAAGTGAGCCTATATCAGCAGGAAGAACCTCTAGATTGTAGCATGCTCTAAGATCCAAGATCACTAATTTCGGGAGTGCACAAACGAGCTTTTCGAGATTTTCGATCCTCGAGATCCCTTGAAAACTTGCAAGCCTGAGATTCTTCAGGTTCTTCATATTGTCAAGAAACTCCGTGCTCTCGACTTCAATGTGGCGCTTGGCAGTCCGTTCCCATCTTCCCAGATAAAGCACCCTTAGAGACTCCATCTCTTTGAACCACTTGAATGTGAAATCAGGGTACCGTTCAGAGGAGTTGAAGACCGTCTTCAGGGATTTCGGCGGTTTCATTGCAGATGTTATTGTTTGTCTTTCCAATGAGGGACTTCTTACTAGGCAGACCTTGTGTTGTTTTGATCTTATCATGGTACGCTTCCCTTCTTCGTTATAGAGTTCAAATTGATCCATAAATTTGGCCAAGTAAATAACTGCAGAATGCACATGAGGCTCCATCTTGTAACTAGTTGGGTTAAGCTTCCTCTCATCTTCCACTCGCTCGAGTAATCCTGCCATTGAGAAATCATCAAGCATTCCCCTTACCGAGTTCTCAGGATCAGCACAATTGATGAAACCTTCCCCGATCCACCAGTACATCAACATTGTCCTTTTGACCTCTCTGTTCTCTGGGAACACAGCAAAAGACAACAAACATTGCTGCTTTTGAGTATCCTTAAGGCCTATAAATTTCTCAGCAACTTCTTCAAAAGCTGAGGAAGATTTGAAACCATCAGAAAAGTGGAGGCTAGGCAAGTTTATGTCGATCCCGGTCTCATTGATCTGACCATTCTCCTCTGTCGTTTGAGAATCTGTTGTGCTTAATACTCTAGATGGTTGTTTGTAAAGCAATGATGGGATCTCACACTTCAAAGGAGAGATCTTTTTTCTGATTTCCTTGAGATCGTCAGAGCGAGACTTGTATGTATCCGCCTTCTTTAGTATTGCTTCAAGGTTTTTTGAAGTAACATAAGGCTCCAACCTCTTGCTCATCTTGTCTTGAAACTGAGTCAGATTCTCAAATGCAGCCTTCATCTGACGAATGTCACTCTGCAGTTTCTGTTTCTCCATGTATAATTCATTTTGACTGCCTCCACTGTCGCTTCCATGGTTTGAACCCTGCTTCTTCACCTTACCAATTTTTCTAACACAATCAAACCAAGATGTTTTCTCCGCGATTGGTCTTTGACTTGGTTGTACATTGTTGTTAACGCTAGCTTTCGTGGATGCGGGTATGACTTGGACTGGGACTTTTAACTGAGACTCTAACTCAGATAGACTGCGGATAATCTTATCGATAGTACAATCTTGCGTCATGATCAGATTGGTAACGAACAGCCTGCAAAGAATGCAGATTTGATGTGTTTGACTTAGCGGTGTTTGACACATAGAGCGTTCTATGTTTAGTGTTGTTCTTCTAAAGAAAAAGAAAAAAACAGAGAAACAATGGAGCATTTGAAGAACCAATACAAGGTCTCTCATTCAAGCATATATGCAAAAAATGCTTAAAATTTTTACTCAATGAAGCGCAATGAACTCTTCCCATGTAACACTAACCATTATGAAAATACTAGAGAACTAATTTTATGAATGGGAAAAAGATATAAAGAATCTTAAGTTATGTGGTCTTATACATTTTTTGCCTAAGAAAAACTCGGATTCGGTTACACCGTAATTTTATAGGTGAAGCAGTGTAAAGTCTCCATCCTACGTTAATGTCAATTCTATGCAAACTAAATAAAGAAAAGGTAAAATGTTGTATGTGTACCTTACAAAAGTCTTTTTGTCTAAAAGGTGATCATGCATTCAAGCATTGTATCGAACTACTTATGAGCGATCTTCTGCTTCTGAATAAAAATAACTCAAGAAATCTTTCTTTATATAACTTCCCTCAGGCATCGAATTTAGCTTGCAGGCTGAAAGAAAAACGAAGAAAGCAGCAAAGAAAATTGTTCGTTGTTTCTACATTAGGCAAAGAAGAAACTCTTGATGGTAAAAAAGCAAAGTATCCATATCCATGTAAAACACATGACCCATGATTTCATGGTTACACCAAAAGTTAATCAGTCTTATCAACTTCTAACCATTTTCTTTAAATGCTTTGAAACCCTCTCGATATCTCCAAAAATCTCAAATTTTTCTAAACCCTAGATTATTCCTTGTGTTACAAGGTTCAAGCGAATCAGACTTTCTTCTTTACTCATATATAAAAACATGGAGAATTGGGAAAAGGACCTACAATAAAATAAACTTGTTCATAAAGGAGTGAATCTTTTAAAACGGACCAC